AAGCCACCTCCACTCAACCAACAGTAGCAATAACAATGGCACCATGACTACTATCCTATCAGAATTGGACTGGGAAATAACAGTGTGGCAGGGAGTTGTGGCTGAGCTACATAAAGCCGTTTTGTCCCAAACCACTCATGATCACAGGCTGCGGCTGCTACAAACCAGGCTTGGGAGTCCTAACATGGCCCCTAACTACATGTTGTTTGGCCAACACACTGTCAGCAATTCAAAACTTTTTTTTTTGAATTTTTGTCAATATTTAAAAGTCAAATGATTTTACATTAAAAGTCCCTTTTTTTTTTTAACTTCTCTTGAAAAAAATCAAAAGGTCAGGCACACTGGGTTCTGGTTTTCACACGGCCACAGTCGGCAAGAGCCTCCCGCTGAGATGGAGCGCAGGAACCTCGGCCAGCTCCCTACCACGAGCACCTCCAGCCCGCTGGCAGCTGCCACATGACCTTGTGCTTACGGCCTTTTCACTCACAAAAGAGCAACACAATCATACGGTTCAAAAGTCAAAATAATACACAAAGCTGTACAGTGGAAGGCTCGTTCCCACTGTATCCCAACCCTCCGTAAGCAAGCACTTTTGTTCATTTCTTCATGTATTTTTCCTCTTCTACCTTACACACAGTAGTGCAATATATGCTTTTCACTGCTTTGCTCTCCTCACTTGACATGAGTATACCCTGGGGATTGTCCCAACAGCAGAACAGAGAGAACATCCTCATTCTTGTGTTACAGCCCCCTCGCATCCCAGGGGGTGTACAGCCCAGTTTGACGAGTCCTGGGGTTGCTAAAAGTCTTTTGCTTTTACAAATGTTGTGCAGGGAACAACTACGTGCTTACGCCATTTCATAGGTGATAAGTCTGTTGTGCGGGATAAATTCCCACAAGTGAAAGTGCTGGGTCAGAGAATAAATGTATTTGTAATTTTTTTAGGTGTCGATAAGTTGCCCTCCTCATAGGCTGTACCCTTTTATACCCCAAACTGTAGTACAAGCGCATGGCTGTGTCCCTTCCGCTTCCTCAATAGACGGTGTTGTCAAACTTTTGTGGTTTGTCATTCTGACAGGTAAAAACTACTCAGGGTCCTCATAATCCCTGTTTTTAAATCAAGAGATCTTTTCTCATGTGTTTAAGAGACATTGGCATTTCTTTTTCTGGGAACTATGTTCCATTTTCCTAGTCGATTCCTATTTCTGTTGCTGATTTTACCCATATTATTCTTGGGGTTTTTTCCTTATCATCTTCTAGGAGAGCTTATATAGACCTGGAGAAGATCAGCCCTGTATATATGACAGGAGCTGCAAATATTTTTTTCCAGTTTGTAATTTGCATTTGCCTTTGTTGATGGCATGTTTGTTTCTTCTTGTTGTTATTTGCTATAGAGAAGTTTCATTGTTGTTGTATGTGCTTTCAAATGTAGTTAAGTTTATTTATTTATTGTTTGCTTCTGGCTTTCAAGTTATAGTTTGAAAGCAAGGTCTTCTCCATTTCAAGATTAAAAATTAGTTATTCATATTTTCTTCTAGTAATTTTTTAAAAGATTTTATTGATTTATTTTTAGAGAGAAAGGGAAGGAGAGAGGGAGAGAAACATCAATGTGTGGTTGCCTCTCACGCATCCCCTTCCGGGAGCTGGCCTGCAACCCAGGCATGTGCCCTGACTGGGAATTGAACCACGATCCTCTGGTTCAGAGGCCCGTGATCAATCCACTGAGCTACACCAGCCAGGGCTCTTCTAGGAATTTTAAAGCTTCATTTCTTAAAGTGCAAATTTTCGATTCATTTGGAGCTTTAAAGTGCCTATTGTAAGAAGTAAAACTTTCTTCCTACTGGGTGCTCAACTCTAGATTCTGTGCAGATGACAGATTTTACTGTCCTTAAGTAGTAATTAGCTGCATTGCCCTTTTAACACAGTTATTTACAGCTGCCAACCAGTCCCTGGTCAGAATGTGCCAGCCAGCATTACCATGCTGAGTAGATGTGCTTTCAGCCAAAAGCACAGACTCTGAATTCAGTTAGCTTGAGGAGGCTCGTTAGGGATAAATGAGCCATTTTGGAGGACTTTTTAAAATGAAGATATTAGTCTGTGTACAGCTTATTTCTTTGTTCCTAGATCTCTAAGGACATGGGACCTCAGTGAGGGGACTTCTGACTGCCGTCATGGAAGAACCTATTGGTGCTGTTTGAAAAGGGTGCAGACGTCAACCTTAATGGGTGTGCGCACCAACTGCCTGCCGTGGACTAAATAGTTCTTTTAGCAACCTCTCTACTAGCACTGCCCCATGGACAGTTCTTTTTTTAAAACTGTTTTACAAAAGTGAATAATTCTCTGTCCTGAGAAAGAGTAAATGTGAGAAAAACTTGTAAAGGTGAATGGTGAGAAGGTTGCCAAGAAAAAAAGAAAGAGAGAGGGAGGGAGGAAGGAAGGAAAGAAGAAAGAAAGAAAATGGCTTTTCAGTAATAAAACTGGTTCCTGTGCCTGAAGCAGAAGCCTCAAGGGGGACCCGGTGAGAGTGAGATGCTTAAGTCATGCCCTAGCCTCCCTGCAGTGAGTGGGCACCCAGGCCCAGGCTGCGCCCCTGACAATGAATTCAGAATCTCCAGGGGTGGAATCTATGTTTAGTCATGTTGAAAACTGCATGCTTTCAACTGCTGCTCTAGAACCTGCTACTCAAAGTGTGGTTTTCAGACCAGCAGCCTTGGTATCAGTGGAACATGTTAGAAATGCAGAATCTCAGGCCCTGCCTTAGACCTTCTGAATCAGAATCAGCATTTCAACAAGACCCCTAAGATATTCATAAGCACATTGAAGTTAGAGATGGTCTAGAGCAGCGCTTCTCAAAGTGTGGCAACTGAACCACCTGCATCAAACTCACCATGGGGTGGAAGGGCAGGGAAATCATGAGTTTATGTCTGAGGGTAGAGCCCTGGAATCTACATTTGTAATGTGCTAACTGTTCGAGAACTACTCCCAAGAGGAAAGGCAGCATTCCCTCATTGGCTTTAAAAAGTCAAAGCATGCCCATTGAGAGAGGGGGTGGGGGGGTGAGTTGTTGATAATCTATAAACATTTCTCAGCCAGATAAATGTGGTTTCTGCTCTCTGACCTGTAAATAGAGAAGGTGGTGGTAGTTAAATTTAGCTTTCAGATTGACACAGAAATGCATCCAAATTTTCTTGAGTTAGTGGCTGAACTGATATGGGAAACTTTGAAAAACCTCTGTTTAACCTTTATTTGCCCAGGCCCCAGGCGCCCTGGGGAGAATGATGGGGCTGTCTGGGATAAGTAAACAACGGTGCACTAGCTAGGACTGAGATTAACACCCCTGCTGTTAAAAACTGACCTTCGAATTTAGCCTTTGTACTCTGCTTCTGCCCCATAGCTAGAATTAATTTCCACATTCCGCTTCTGTACCCCGCTTTGCTACATAGACAAGAAGACCCTGTAAACTATAAAAACCCCAAGAATCCTTTGTTTGGGGCTCAGAATTTGGACACTGACTCCTCTGGGCCCGTGCACGTTAAAATAAACCTCGTACTCCAGAAACCCTCGGTGTCTGGTCGCTTCATTTTCCTGCAACAGAACAGGCCGCAACTTGGATACATAAGCCTCCACTTTAAAAGCTGGATTAAACATATGAAATGTTGATGCTCAGGCGCATCCTTCTTGGGAGGTTCCAAAAAAGCCCCTCAAAATGCACAGCAGAGACGAGAGAGAGCAAATCCTCCTAACGATGTTTCTTCAGTTGACAAAGGTCTGTTTTTGAAATTTTTGCTTAGGTTCAGATTTTTAAATGTTTATGGATTTAAAAAAAAGTGAAGCCAGGGATATTAAATTTGATCTCTCAAAAAACGTGTTTGCAGTATGTAGTACTTCCGTGTAGTTTTAAAAGCATTTCAGCTCACACAAGATATGTAAACGCTTCTATGATAACAGAGCGGTAAGTGGATTGATCTTCAAATGCCTAGGGTCTGGAATGATTCCCCACACTTGACTTGAGGTGGCAGAACTGAAACCGTTGTAATTACAAAGAGCAGTGAGACTGCTGTGGTTGTGATGGACAATCAAGTGGAGTGGGGAACAGCAATGCGACCGACATGCGACTGGTAGACAATGTCTGAGTTCAACCTCACCAAAAGCAAAGAAACTTAACACTGGAGAAAAGGATTTTGGGGGCTTTGCTTTAAAGAATCTCTTTAGGGCAGTGTTTCTGGAACCTTTTGGGAGCGCCTTTCATCCGAAGAAGCAAAAATACTCCTTCCCTTCCCTCAATAAAAATAAAATTAAAAAAAAGAAAATCTAATGAAAAGGTGAGGGTCCTCCCAGATGCACCGCCTGCAAGGCTTGCGGGAGCTCCGCAGACTCCATAGAACCATCAGCGCCGACACTTTAAGAAAACAGCTTTAGGCCCAGGGGCAAGTTTCTGAGCATCGAGGTCCGAGGTAGTTAGTAAAATTAGGGCTGACTGTTTTCACTTAAACAGAGACAATTAGGTCAGCAGTCTCGTGGGGACGGGGGCCAAGTGAAGAACCAGACCACTAGAGTACCACAGGAAAAGAACCCCTTTGCCGAAGAAGCCTGCGTCCTTTCAGATGTACTGCTTCCCTGCTCTCATGAGGCCTCAGTGAGGCAGAGCTCGGGGACCGCTGGGGCTCCCTTCACGCCGGAAAGTGAAAACTTCTGTCCAAAGTTAGGAAGAAAAGAAAGCTCTTAGAGACACTGCCTATACCTCTCATGTACCTGCAGACTCAACTGGCGTCAGAGGTGGAAGACTTACCCCCTCGCCTCTTCCCCCATTTAACTGATGAAGACACTGACCCCTGAGGGCTAAGATTATAACCTCAGGGCACTCTCTCCACAGCGCCCCCCCCCCCCCCGCCACACCTGGCCAGCGGAGGAGAGGGCGTGGAGCTCTTCCCCCACCCCCACCCCCACACTGCCCGCCGCCCACCGTGGCAGGGGTGCTTGGGGAGTCCAGCCCCGCCTACCGGCACCATGGAGTAGGTCATCATCATCAGCATGTCTTGGCTCTCCGCTCGGAGGTGCGGCACTGGCTCCCCGCTTTGGCTGCGCTTGCTGCGCGCGGCGCCCACGGGGTCCGGGGGTGGCGCGGGCGCCCAGCGCGGCGCGCGACTCAACTCCTCCAGGAAGTTGCGCAGGGCGCTGTCCTCTCTCTGCTCCCTGGCCCGCTGCTCCTCTAGCGTCCGCAGCGCCGCACTCAGACCGCGCCACTGGCAAAGCGCAAACACCGTTCCTGCGGCATTGAGCGCCGAGAGCAGGGCCAGGGCAACTAGGGCGCCGCGCAGCCCCCAGCCTGCGCCCCCGCAGCCTCGCTCCGCGCTTCGGGCCATGCTCTGCGCGCCTCCAGCCAGCAGTCAGGGCTGGGCCGCCTCTCGCCGGGGCAAACTTTATACGCCACGGGCAAGCCGTGGGCTGGTGGCAGCGCCGTGAGTCACGTCGCCCTTTGGCTCGGCTGGTGGGGCAGGTGGGGAACAGTAGCAGTGGCGCCCGAGCAGCCCGGAGGGACAGGAGGACGGAGATGGGTAGACGGGGAGAGGAGCTAGTGGAGACAGCCCGCGGAGGAGGGGTGGACAGGGCTCATGCTCCGTGCTGGCCAAGCAAACCAGCAAACTCGCCTCGCCCTCCTTTTCTGAACTGCCTGTCGGTATTGCCTTGGCTCTGACGGCCAGACAAGGGTCAGACTGAGGGGGAGAGCAGGAATTTGTATTGCCAAGAAGTCGCTGGATTCCTCCCCATTCCCCCCCCACTGCCCTCTCTGGAGAGAAGGATCAGCACGCCCCGATGCCAAGGCACATGCCCACTGTTCCTGGAAGGTCTGTGGCTGGGCCGGGCTCAGGCTGCCCACACTCCTCCCACCATTGCAGGACTCCTGAAGACCCCACTAGATCTTTACCAGCAAGGGGGTGGATAGGCACAGCAAGACAATTGACATCGGAGGGTTAAGAAGGCCACTGGTCAGCAACAGAAAAGCCCAGCCCTGTCTGACAAGCAGGTATGGCTCCATAAGACCCATACCTGGGAGGTGGCAGGGCGATGAGAAAAAAGTTCAAGAGTGGGAATCAGGAGACCTGGGTCTAATCCCATTCGGCCTCTGCCCAGCTAGGGGCCTTTGAGCGTATCCCAAGACAGCTCTGGACCGATTCCGAGGAGGTTTCTGGCTGACCAGCTGGGACTCCAGCCAGCCCCCTTCCGGGCCTTATATTAGCTGGCCTTGCTTGGGGGGGGGGGCAGGCAGAGGCCTAGTTACTCCTTCACAACCTCCCTTTCCTGTCAGCTCAGATGTCTGCTGTGCTTCAAGGGCCACTGTCCCCCAAACACAGTCACTTCTCAGACTCTTTGCTCTCTGTCTTTCTCAGCTTTCTTCAGAATGGTTCTGCTGCCCCAGGGCCTGCAGGAGGGCCCTGTGGTGCGGGAGGACCCCAACCAGAAGCTGTGATTGCTGTTTCCCTGGCCCATTATCTCAGAGGAGGAGGCGGCCCTATGAGCCAGCTGGAGCTGTCAAAGAGAAAGGACTTTCTCTAGCATAGTGGGTCGCAGCTGCTTTTGCACTGAGGGAACCAGTAGGATGATGGGGAAGCAAGCGTGTTAGGACTTAATGGAAAGAGCTCTGTAACCATCTCCTCCCCAAAGGTGTATGTTCCAATTATTGTTGGTGGGTTCCGTACACCCCCCACACACACACACACACACAAAGGAGGAAGTCCAGGGAGTCTCAGAAGCAGTCACTTCTTGCCCACAACTCACTAGTGTGAGCCAGGGTAGAACCTCTGGGGAAGCACAAGAAAACCAAAGTTACATCTCAGAAGTTCTGTGTCAAGGTCTAGATTCCTGAGTTTTAATAGGGACAATGACCACCTTAATTCTCTTAGAAGACCATCTGGATGAGGAGCAATTAGTCCAAGTGGCTCATGAAGGACTCCCACCAAAGGGACATGATGTCTGGGAGGCAAGGGAGATGGTACAGACAACCTTGTCTAGTTCCTCCCAACTCCAACATACTGTGACCTCATTGAAAAGTTGCCATGTACCCTTACCTCTTGTCATCCAGGCTTAGGATGCCAATTGTAAGGCTTCTTCCCACTGGAGAGAGGAGTTGGGATCAGCCTGCTGTTAATTCACTAACAGCCTACTGAGCACCTACTATCTGTCCGGCACAGTGACGGGCTTTGGAGGTGTCAGAATGAACAAGACAAGCAGCTTACAGCATGGGCAGTTAGAGTCCCCTGGGGCCTCCCGAGCGTCTCTTTATCACAATGTTCATTACAGTTCCTGTTGCCTGACCACCTGTCACCAGTGCCCACCATCAACAGAATATACTGAGGTTAGGGGCCCCCCTGAGGTGAGGGGCCATGCCTTGTTTTGACCCAGACTTCCCCCACACCTGGCAGAGTTTCTAGCTTGAAATGACCATTCAGTAATTGCCTGTGGAATGTGTAAGTGTACAAATGAATGTATGAAAGGCTGTTTAGAGAGGGCATTTCTATGTGAAACGTGTGTGTGGTGATGGTAGGGCTGAAGAACAAAACTCTGCTTATGCCACGTAGGGTAAACAGAAGTAGTCTGGCTTCCTCATCCAGGTGTCTGGGTAGCTGAGGGAAGCAGTTTCCCATAACCTTGAGAATGGGCCTGATAAGTGGTATTCTTATAGCCTTGAGGCTGGGTCCGATAAACGGTTCCCATACCCTTGAGTGGGCTTGCATGGGTAGTATGAAGATCTGTTGCACAATATCTGTTGGCACCCTGCTGCCTTTCATTGTATCTAGTACTTAAAAGGGTAGGGACTCCCTGCTGGGTGCCACACAGGGGGACAAGTGACATGCAGGTGGACACACTGCTTGCAGCGTGCATGGGTTCCCCACCCTTGAATAAAGGCATGTCAAGCATCCTCATGACTCCATGAATATTCTTCCATCTGCCTGAATCTTTCGAACCTGTCTGGCCTCGAACAGTTGCAACACATACCACAGACCTGGCCCCATCTTCCTTGGAAGGCTGCTTGTCTAACAGGAGACTAAGGGTAGCCTGACACACATACTCCCAACCCCTCTGGTTCGGAGTCCATAGCCAGTAGAAGGAATCGAGTTCCAGTTCCACTTGGAACCAGCAAGGCTCTGCCCAACAACCTTAGGCCAAGATGCCGCCCCTTTGGGATGTGGGACTGCAAAGGCTTATGGTGCGGACAATGGGCTGGGTGGGTGGAGTGCCTGAGATACTGCACTGGGGCCAAGAGAGGGGCAGAACGAGCCCGCCCCCCAAAAAAAAAGATTCACTTCCTACCGACCCTTCTCCTAGTTCCTTCCTCAAGCCTTTCTGTGCAGGATGGTATTTTGCAAGGAAGGAGAAGGTGGGACTTGCTACTATGACCTACAATGGAGCTTATCTCCACTCATCTCTTGCTCTAAAATGGCCGTATTCAAAGAGCTGGCCTTGCTTTTTTCTCTTTTGCCTTTCTCCTCTGTCCTCTCTCCACATCCTCTCTCCACCATCCATCAACCTTTCTCCTTCTCTGGCCCATCTCAGGGTTGCCCCTATTTAAGGTCCAATTCAGAGTCCCCTTCCTCATCACACCTTGCCTTCATGCCAGCCTCAAGCTCTCCCTTGTCCCTGAACTCTGCAAGCCCCAGGGACTCAGAGGCTAACAGCATGGGCTTTAGAATCAGAGAGAGCTGAGCTTGAAACCACTTTTTAACTGTGACTTTGGGTATGTTACTCAATTTCTCGAAGGAGACTATAATTTTATGTATCTCAAGGGGTTGTGAAGATGTAATGAGAAAATACATGTAAAGCACTTGGCATACAGTAAATGCTCTTGGCTATGGACAGTCTGAACTTCCTGACACCCAGACCCTGTCGACCAATATTTTAGTCTTTCCCAATCTTAGTTCCTTTGTTGGGCTACAGCATGTTTAAAGAAAGGCACTCTCTCCACTGTATGGGGCTACACCAGCAGGGGCTTGTGCCAAATAGGACTATTGAGTTAACTGATCGGTTAACAAATCTTATTTTGTTGATGCTTTTTAAGGAATAGAACTTTTGAATGCATGGTGAACTTGGTCTGTTGTCTGAATATGGTGGCTGTGAAGTTGGTTATGTGGGGTCCTTGAATCTCTAGCTTCCTAAGCCCCCCACCACTTCTTGAGAGGCAGACATGTCTACATAGGCTGTTCTGCCTAGTATTTCTCAGGATGGGCTGATACTGCCCACTTACTATTTTTTAAAAAGTTAGCTATTAATCTGGCCTGTTTTGTTCACGTAGGAGGTTCAACATACAGTGAGGACATGGGGAGATATCTGAATTACCTTTTCTGGAGACCAAAGAAGCCAAGAACATTCTGTGCTATGTTTACAATGAGAAGTAGTTTTTCCATTAAAAGGCAGGTGCTCCATTTCCACAGGTTAAATAGGATGTTCCTTAAAAAATGATTCCAGCTGGTTAACTTTAGGGCCCTGGAGGATGAAATCCAATTCAAGGATATACTCCAACTTTAATTCCAAAGCATTTCTTCCTGATTGTGAAGTGAGTAATTTTCATTTACTCTGAGGCCTGGGTATTTTTATTTGGTTCTCTGTGATGAGGTTGGCAGCTATGCTGTGACTTCTGGTGGTGCTTTGCTACCTCCCTACCAGCCCTGCCCTCTCGCCGGTGGAGAAGGAGGAAGGCTCTCTAACAGTTGCCACCATGTACACCTTCCACCCAGCCACCTCTGGTTTGAACTCCCCATTTCTACATTTAAACCCCGAGAAGTTTCAAGCCAACCAACCGAAGTCAGCGATTCTCTTTTTCTTTGTTCACTCACTCACTCATTCATTCATCTGTCTATTCATTTATCCATTTATTCAACAAATTGGGTGTTTGCTATCTGCCAGGAACCACATTAGGAGCTAGGATAGGATGAAGAGCAAAACCAGACACCATCCCTGCCTTCCTGAAGCTTACAGTCTAAGTGGGAGACGAGATTAACCCAGTAACCACAGACATTAAGATATAATTCTAAATGAGACGATGAGATAAATGCCCTGAAGGAAAAGAGCGTGATTCTGTGAGATCTCACCAGTGAGGAACTTGTCATAGATGTGGAGTGTGGGGTTAAGAAGGCTTCCCTGAAGAACTAATGGTGCTTGAGCTGGAAAAAAGATGAGTACTCGTTAAAGAGGTGGCGGTATGGGTGGAAGAGTTTCGAGCAGAGGGGACAGCATGTGCAAGGCCCTGTGGCAGGGTGTACTGTGGTTTATTTAAGGGACCATAAGAAAGGCACTGTGGCTGCAGCATAGAATGTGGATCAGGGAGGAGAACAGAATGAAATGAGGCTGGAGACCAAGTTAGGGGTCAGACTCTGTGGGTGGGACCTCATAGGGTTGGGGTCTTTATTGTGAGATCAGTGGGAAGCCATTGAGAGCTTTTAAGTGTGTGTGTGGTGGGGAGTGTCAGGAGATGCTGGGTTGGTAGATGACAGGTTTTTATTTTCAACAATTACCTTTTACTGCCAGGGTGTGTAGTGGCTTCCATCACTGCAGAAACTGTGAGTGACCCCTCACCTTCACCAGACTGAATTTCAGCCTTTAAACCCACCTTTCCAAATGAAATAAGAAAACACTGACTTCTAG